TTTTTTTGGTGTCTTTTCCTGGTATCACTCATAAGAGCAGAAAAGCAGCCCTTTAGACAAGAGATCACACATCAGAAAAAGATCTGTGTGGAGCAGATCCTGAAACTATAGAAACCAGCTGCATGATACTGGTTTTGTTTCTAATCTTCATCCTAACTTTTTATGACTGCATTTTACCGCAAAAGCACATTAACAACATAAAGCAAAGCTTATTTTAAATGCTGCCTTTCCAGTATAAATTACTTCCAGCACTGCCTTCTAAATCTGTGAGTTTAGCACATGGAGACTAAAAGTGTCTGCTGAAAGCAAACCAGCTGTGGATCTCGCTAATACTTCTCTGCTAACACGTATTTCTTCAGAAAACAAATTTAAATATCGGGTTTCGCTTTCTTTTGCCACAAGAGGGCGATCCCTTAATTCGCGTTACCACTGAGGCAATGCACCGACACAAGATGGACTCATTTTCGATCTAAACCATTATTTCAACTTCTTATGTAGATAAATTGATGAATTTCATTCTGTCTGTGTTCTCAGCATGCATGTGATTTACATCAAGTTACCAGGCAAAACAATTTAGCTGTGGGAGACACTGCGCTTCATAAATGACTGATACCCCAAAAAATGGTGGGAAGTAAATAGAATTTCTGTTCATTATCTTTAGAAATAGCAGTACACTGTATTAACACAACTCTTTGTTCTCAGTGATAAACTCAGACAGGTCGCAATCAAAAGGAATAAGATCTTAAGACGTGCTGCTTTCAGAAGCATGAGAAATTTGTGAAACAAAGAAAAGATATGTGTCACACTTGTCATCCACCTGTGAATGCTCTAGCTATTTGAATTTGTTAAATATGCCATCATGTGCAACAATATACAGCGCAAGCACAATCCACACAGGAAACTGATTCAAGCACTCAGAGTCTGAAGATTGTCACGTCCTCCCTAATGCAAAACTCTGATTGCATTGACTTACTTAGAACCAGATAGCTGGGAAGATTTTGTTTAAATGCTTCTAAACAGTCATCATGAGTGTACAATATAACTTACCATAGCATTTTTGTTTTCAGTCCCAATATTTTACATATATAAACCTGTGAGATTTATTCAAACCATGACTGATTTCTCCCTCTTAAGTCCAAATAAAATTTTAATCAGAAACGGTGGATGGATTTTGTCCATCAAGAGTCAGCTATGTTCCTGGGCAACCGGTAATGCTCTGGCCTGATCCTTGTCTTCTTCTCCTGAGGGTTGGCATATTTCCACTTGGATGGGGACATTTTCAGCTTTTTTCTCTTCTTATCTGTACACCACACTTTTTCACAGTATTCTTCCACCCTTTGGAAGTTGCTGTAACCTATCAGTTGAAGAAATTCTTTATACCATGGCTTTGAAGCCTGAGGTATACTGCTCTGCATTGGGCATGGCATTTTGTGAGGTATCTCCTCCTCATAGTCTTTATTGAACATTTCATCCACTCGTTCTTCCTCAACTACTTCCAGGGTGATTTTCCTGACAGTGTGAACAATGCTGTGTTCCACTGTCTGACAGAAATAAGTTCCTGCATCCAGTCGATGCAGCTTCAGGAATAAAAGGCCAAGGTCCATTTTTATTACTCTATCATCTGTCTTCACCTGAAAAAAAAAATAGCAGTTATGGAGCACAGGCCTTTGCTATTACATTAAAGCAGTGCAATTATTTCTGAACTGTACTTCCATGACTGTAATATTAAATTTAGAGAGGAAGATTAGAGATCCTCAAACCTTTAATTCACAGGGTTTTTTAATAACAAAAATGTTTACTTGAAGTTGACAAGAGATTGAGCTGTAATGGAGAATAATCTAAAGAATCTGGGAAGGGTGGAAGAACATATAGTGGAGCAGGCAGATTCCTGTTTTAATTGCAGCAGAAATAAGTTAGAAACGTGCAAATAACCTACTGGATGGAAAACAAAAAGGGGACTGAGGAATAATAATAATTCCACTGAGGGATGAGAAATTGGATGAGAGCTGGCCACATCCACTTGCAGAAAGCAAATTGTTTCTTGTGCTGGAGAACAAGAAGTGAGGCCAACAGGTCAAGTGAGGGCATTCTCCACATCTACCCGGCACTGATATCCCACCTGCTGCACCCAGCTCTGCAATCCTCAGTGCAAGGCAGACCTGGACCTGCTAGAGAGGGACTGGAGGAGGGTCACAAAAACGAAGAGAGGAATGGGGCACTTCTCCTGTGAAGAGAGAGCTGGGGTTGATGAGTCTGGAGGAGAGGAGGCTCCAGGAAGACCATATTGTGACCTTTCAGTACTTAAAGCAGGTTATAAGAAAGATGGGAACTTTTTACCAGGCCCTATAGTGACAAATCTGCACTGTAGTGATATCTGCGCTGATGTGCATCAGAGAGATATTGAGGAATAAATATAATGACAGTTTCATAATGACAAAATATATATAAAAGGGGCAGAGAATCCACCAATACCCATTTGCAAAAGATTCTGCAATGCAATGGGTGAGGCAGCAAGAATGAATAGATGTTAAGTTGTTAAGACACTGGGAATAAATAGTATGTACATATTTCACCCCTGCAGGAACATACCAAGAGACCATATCAATCCATACAATGGATTTTCCTTTGTTTTGAGATCTTAGATAATCTTCACTACATTTCTAACATCTGCATTCAAGATGCTGAATGCAAACACCAGGTGAAATACTCAGGTCTATCAATTCAAGAGACCAGATGTGCACAGTGATTTTCCCTGACATCCATGGACATTTCAGCAACTGGTACAGAAATTCAGTGAATTCMTAATAAAAGACTCTTTTGCTGGAAAAGGTTAGTCTATGATAATGTTTACCTCTTCCTTCTTAGTTTCATGTGCTCTCTGGACAAACCAAATTACTTTTGCTTGTAAGGTCCGAGGGGTGCACTCCAGCAGGGTGCTGTTGTACTCTATTCCATAAACAAGTCGCTCCTCAGTCCTCTCCAGGACTTCACCTGGAAGGGAAATAAATGTTTCATAGATGTGTTACTGCAAATACTTGTTACACTCCATGCTCAGGGTATAATTACTTTTAAGAGCTAAATTTAATTTAGGTCCAACCAGTGACTGAAAAGTATTGTCTTATGAAGACCTGCCCTGCTCAATGAATTTTCCCATCATCTCAGATTTTCACAGCATCTGACCAAATTGTGCAGTGACTCACCTGAGATTATACACAGAGAAACAGATCTCAGCCTTTCACACTGCTAATTGCTTGTGCCTGGTTCTTATGAATAGTTAATTTCATTTGCACTCAGTGGAACAGGAGGATTCAAAACATGTTTAAATATAATAAATAATTCAGTTTTTTAGGGATATTACTGACAGTCCAGAACTTTTTGCAGAATGGAACTTATTGTTCCATTGGTATTTATTTTGCAGAATAAATACTCAAACCAACATTATACATATCTATGCTATACATGTGTAAACTGAATGTACAGTTTGGGGCTAGGAGTGCTAATAAAAACAAGGTGAATGAATTTAATCAAAATTTAATTCTGGTTTTCAATCCAATAAAATATCTGGAGGAGGATAAACTAGTTGTTGCACTTGATGAATTCAATTGCCTCATTAATTAAATAATTTTCTTCCATAATAGAGGGAAAGATTCTTGAGACTGAAAAGCTTTATACCCTAAAAAAATCAACTATTTTATATAATTGTGATTTCTCTGCTGTATTTGAAATTTGTGGAACAATTAGCATTTATTATTAAAATATTCTTTTCCAAATTGTACTATATCCTCCAATGGACTTCAATTATAATAAAGCTTTCTCTGGTAATATATATATATCTAATATTTAATATTTAAAATAGTGTTTCTCTCGCTGTCTTTCTAGAAGAACCTTTTATGTTGGGTTTTTTTTTTCTTCTATAATTGTATTGTCTGCTATTCTGCAAAATACTGAGGATTTGCCTGCAAATATTTTCTCTTGGTTTTACTATTCTCAATACCCATGTTTGAAATCCTCACTATGAAAGGTTTGGAAAGTTGTTTGGACAACAATATTAGGCACAGTTCTCTGTCCTTTTTATTTAATAAAAATCTTGATAATGATCATAAATATACATTTTTGTTCTGGCATGTCCTTGCCCATGTCTATGTTTCGATTCTAAATCCTGACATAATTTCATACACATTTCAGCCCAGTTGTTGCTTCTCCCTGCCCCTTCTTTCTGCTTTTATTGGCTTGTTGGGAGCCATTGAGATACATTATCCACATCTTGTCTGAATGTCAGTGCTGCAGGACCACATGGACATTACAGGATGCACCTGACCCACACCACTGAGACAATCACCCTTAGACCTGCATGGGGTGGGCTCAAACCCACAGCTCTCATAACATTATAGGAACATTCCAGTGAAAAAAGGCAGGTGAGATCATGGTCTGGCTGATGCTCTTGGCAAACCCCGTGCTGGCTGTTTGTCCYAGGTTAGCTGAGTATTGTATTCCTATCATCTGCTTATGTTAGAGGAAAGTTAAACAACCCTTCTGTAACTATACATTAGTTGAGACTGCTCTGGTTTGTTTGGTGATGTTCCTTCCTTCAAGGACAATGGGAGGGAAAGGTACAAGACACACACGTTTTGTTTGGGTTTTTTTCGGAGGCTCTGGGCGATCAGCGGCAGAAAAGAAGCTGCCTGCTCTCTGGGACTGCTCCTTTTTCCTCCCTTTCTTTGAACTTGTTTTTTTTTTTCCTTGAATTTTTTTTTCCTTCTTCGTCATCTGAGGATTGGAGGATTCCCGTGGCACGACAGGCGAGAAAGATCCTTCAGTGAACCACCAGAGAGAGACTCTGAGCACCCCTCTGGGGGCCCCAGAGGGGAAGCTACTCCCAGGAGGGAAGAGAAAGGCTTTAAGATCTAACAGCTGATTCCACAGGTTTTTTTGCTTTTATAATTTTAAATGAATACCTTTTTTTCTCTTTTCTTTTCACTTTCCTCTCTGTGGAAAAATTTGTCTCTAGGACCTGGGTGGGGAAAAGAAAGCAGGGGAGGTTTGCTGGAACTTGGGAGTGTTTGCTCCCATTGGGTTCATTCAAACCACGACACTGTTGCAGAGAGTTCCAGGCAATTTTCAGGGGTGTGAATACATTACCAATGAACTGCTGGCCAAAGCACTGCTGCGCCGCRTTCCCGTGACGGACGTCTTGTCTGCGGAAACGTCTGCAGGGGAAAAAGTGGAATTATTTGAGAGAACATGTTTAGTTTACATGTTGTTTGATGTATGTTAAACTGGCATTCATTAAAAACTTAAGAACTTAAACCTTAATTAACAATTTATCGCTGTTGTAAGAAGTATCCATTTATAAATCAGTATTTTGTCTCCATTCAACCTACTGGGAATCATGTGTCTGAAAAAAGGAAACAGCCTTGTCTGGAGAAAAGGCACAATTATGTGTCCATTTTATATATAAATCCACTGATCTTATAAATATAAAAGAAGATCCTTTCATCCAACTAGGTAACATTCAGTCAAAGGAACTTTTAGACTGTCTTTGGGTTCTCTCTCTCTCCAGAAAAGAAGGAAATTTTCATTTTTTAATTTGGAACCATTTGCCATGTATGTGAGTGGTACTTCTTTTATCCTTCACTCTCATGTTTTGTTTTGTTTTGTTTTTTTCACTTGGGAATCTCAAAGCACAGAGGAAATACTTTATTTTATTTCACCTTTGTATCACCTTTGTATCAAAGAGTTACTGAGCTCATTTTTCTCAACAGAGAAACAGACACATTCATGACATGCCCATGCCTAGAAAGTGAACTGGTGGCAGAACTGTGATCACAACCTGGGAGCCCTGGTTTCAACCTGGAAATAATCTAAGTGCTTTTGAAAGAAAAAATTACTTTGACTTTTGGGGTTTTGGTTTTCTATATGCATTTACAGAAAAAAAAGTGAAAACCATTATTATATGGTGCATTTATAGAAGAATTGTGCTTTTATATAGCTTTTTTTTTTTTTGAGTGCACTGATAAACAAAATTAAGATTCTTTATTTGGGAAATAAAAGAGCCTGTTGGAATGTTTTATCTTGCCAGATTAGTATGTCCAACAACCTCAAATTTAGTTTTTCTAAAGATACCTTTCCTATATTTGCATAAAGAGTAATTCTACACAGTATTTTCAATGCCATACATAACAGATTAAMAGAAGAATCATACAGTGCAGAAAATGTARCACATTAGGCATGTGTACAGTAYAAATTATTTWYGTTAGAAACAAGCAAAGCCAAAGARTTCTGTTATTCTTTGCATTTASTACTGAAATTATGTYATTCTCCAGTTCTATGTGAAAATTTTAGTTTGGCACAAGTAGAATTTACTGAAACTATGTAGATTTACACCATCTAAAGGTCTTGTCCATGGATGTCATCTGTTAAACTTTTAACCCGGCAGTGGACAGTGATTATTTTCTAAGTTCTGACCCAAATGAACCCCTGATTCAGTGTTCTTGGTGGACCAAGAGCCCATCTTTAACCTCCACTGACATTCAGAGAMGAACCAGTGTTTTTCCATGGTTGTTTCAGGGGAAACTGTAAATTCAGTGAGGACTTCACTGGGCTTTTAGGGAGAAATGCTAACAATACTTGTATCCTATTAAAGAAAAACAGAGATTCTGAGGTAGCAACTGGACCTTATTCTGCCCTGGGAGGTGTCATTGCARTGTGTAGTGTCAGTGCTGATAAATGCTGTCAGCAGCTTTGCAAGTCTGTGTATATAGATTACTCAGAAAAGACATTTTCCTGCCCAAATACACATAAACACTACAGGATATGCATTAACTTTGAAAAAAACAAACAAGACAACCCTGCTGCTGTCAGGTCCAATAGCCCTGTCTAGCAGGARCAGGACAGGTAGCAGACACATTCTATTTACTCTTCAGTTCCTTAAGATCATTGTAGAGCTAAAAAAATCCTAGTCCTGTAAGACAGGGTTATTTCTCCAGTTGTCAGAATCATTAAAGAAAAAGTAATGTYTGTTTGATRRAATTTYACTGTTGTGGCTGTGAAGACTGGGGAAGATACASTTATCACTGCCTCCACTTGCTATTTTTTGTTAATAGAAAGAAAAAATGGGGAGCAGTGCTGCAAGAGAGGGAGATGCTGGGAGATAAACTCATTTCACAAATACTGACATAAGCCTGGTATTTTAATTTTTTTTTTCTGAGAAATTATTTTACTCCAAATTCTGTGAATAATAGAGTATCAGACAATCCTTGAGGTAAATTACTGTAAGAGACAATTTTCAGTGATTAACAAATGCACTGAACATATGGAAGTGTCTTTCACAATCTATTGTTTCATAAATTTAGATTTCAGCCCTTAATTCTCTGCTTTCAGGAACCTGGTAAAAATGATCTGCAAGAAAGCAATATAGTCATCATCATCATCATCATCATCACCATGACCATGATTTTAATCTTTCTTTGTTATTCCCCAGGAATGTATGAAGCAAAGTCAAAAGTCTTGGGAAGAAAAGGCACCACTGTGGTTTGAATCAGTAAATGGGTGATGGAGAAAGAARCCAGAGAGGGAGAGGAGGCAGGGGAGTGGCTCAGCTTCTAAAAATTAGCCAAAGAATCACACTAGACCTAYCCAAGCTCAAAGACATTTTTAAATTATTTCATACCTTTTTCAGCCTRGATGGTGAGCTGGCACAGCAAAGAATCTCATTTGTAAAATTTAGTGCTTGTTTAGATGAAAATTGAACCTGCCTAAATAAGATTGCAGAACTACTAGTGAACTGAAGCATTAAAAGTCCTGGACCTCTGCTTTCTCAAGTGCACTTCATGAAATTTGAATGCAATATAAATTCTTTCTGGCACCTGAGGTATTTGCAGTATGCAGGAGCCATACACCTGTAATTACCATGGAATTGTGGTTTGCTGTGCTGCSAGCACAAGACAAGGGATTTTAAACTCAGATTTCCTTTTTCCTTAATTAAATCCTACATTTAATTAGTTACCCAGGCTATGCATGTACAAKGAATTATAGACTTTCACAATTTGAAAAACTAATACCAGATGCCAAGCAGAGGGCTTTTGTATTTAAGCTTCACTTCTCTCTAAATTCATTACAYGCCTTAGTTTACAGATTTCTATTTAATGTTTCTCTAAACACTTGTTATACCTCGGAGGCATCAGGATCTAAAGCAGGCAGCATTTGGATCGAAGTGGGGAGGATATTTGGTACATCCCTGCCCTAATTCAACTCTTCAACAGTAGGACTGGAATTAAAAAGAGAGCTCTGAGCAATGCCTTTACTCACTAGCAGCACTGCTCTTACAAATCAAAAGTCCACTTAAATATGCAGCATGAGGGCCACATTTGAGCAGACAGAGGAGGTGTTAAGGCCAGCAATGTAAGGCACAGCTCCATGATTCCAATGAAGGGAGGGATATCAGGATCAGGAGAAACGAGTGCTCTCCCATGCCCCCTGCACTCACATCACTTGTATTACCACGTACAGCCGGAGCAGAAACCTGGAGCCCTGAGACAAGGCCAGATTAAGACATGAATGCTCTGGTGTGTTGCATTAATTCTGTCTGGAGCCCAAGGAAGCCATGGCAGGATTCTCATCAGCTCAGTGCCACTCGCTATCAGAAAATGTCATGTTCTCTACTGGAACCTCCCTTTTCCTGCCTCACTCTTCACCTGCACCTCACAGGAAGCATCTTGAGACAATTTCAAACCCCATGTCCCTTGTACCTCTCCTGCCTCTCCATGTACCACACGGTCAATTCAAGGTCTTAAATTTAAAATGCTCTGATCTTCAGCTGTAAGCTGATGTGAACAAAGCAAATGCCATGTGTGCCTCTCAACACTGTCACCCTTGCTGGTTGTTCCCAAACTCCTCTAGGTAAAACAAGTTTTGCAGACTTCAAGAGCATTCAATTGAGTGCAAATCCCTTCTCCACTGCTGCAGTGCTTATCTTAAGAGAAGGAGGGAGATAGCAGCAGTATTTTCTTCCTTTAGTGGCTGACCTGCTGAATGTTGGGGAGGTAAGGCACAGRAAGGTGCCTGGAGTGCTGCCCCTATCACTCCAGCCTGGATAAATTCATTTTCAGGGAACTTAAAGGCTGCTGCTCTGGAAATTGTCTTAGGTGAGAAACATGCACAACAGGATCCAGGCCTCAGTGAGTTTCTCTTATCATTTCTTAGGCAACAAGTAGCCTGCACAACATAAATGGTGATATGACCAGCAAGTTAAAGACTGCTGGGAAATTTTTAACCCCCTTCCTCTTTCCCAAATGACTTTTACATCATTAAATAAGTAACCCATATGCTTTATCTTTATGATGATCCAATTCCTACTTCTACTGTAGGACATTAATCTCCATGGCTCACTATACAGCTGCTCATCTTTCTTAATCTGGGGTCTAATAATTTTAACCAGACTCATCTCAACCTGAGCAGACAACAAGAGCCTGCTTCTCCCCTTTAGGTCTATTCACAAGAGGCACAAGAAAATGATGCAATCTTGCTTGTAAAAGCAGTCTAGGTTTCCYACTTAGTTTAACCTATGGCTTAGTGCAGTAAATCCAAGAGATTCTTAATCATGCTGAGTCATAGGCCGTGTTTTTAATTCGTATTTTTAAAGGAGCCTTATCCAAAAAGTGATGTTACCACAGGTAACATGACTGTATTAATTATCTTTTATAGAAATCTATGGAAATGGCTGCTGTGCCTGGCAATTGCCAGCCTGCATTTGAGTGCATCCAGATTCATGGAAAGACAAGGCGTGCAGGATGAAAAATAAATAAACACAAAGCCCCACCTTCCTGATTTTCCCTAGGAAACAATAATTCATTTGGGATACAATGACTTGGTTTGGCCTGAACCACCTCCACCAGTTTTCAAAACTCTCTCTGGAATTTATTCAATTCATTCTCCTACTCCCTGTAGGTCTAATATAAATAGGCATATTTTTTTAGAACAAGTAATTGCAAAATAAGGCACATAAAGGATTTGAATTATACATGACCAAATATTTGCTGACTCAGGTAAGAAATTGCTCTCTTTAGGTGGCAAAACTGACTAATTTTGTGAAAAATTGTGGATTAAAACACACATTAGATACTTGATCTCTGTAGCCGAACTGCAGAACCTGCGTTTGAGAGGAAAGGGAAGATGACAGGTATATGTGAAATCATTGCATAAAAGAGTAAAGGCCAAGAACATGGTCATATTCACTATGAATATGTGAGGGGTGACACAGAGAGTCTCCACRAGGCAGAATTAAAGCACCCAGATTACGTTTGTGCTTTGAACTGACCTCTAGAGTAACTTGCCTTTCAATACACTGCAGAAAACCTAACCCAAAACTTAGCTTTTGCAGAAACTCCGGTTTGGTTTTGGCTGGTCAAGGTACATGTCTATCAACAAAGATTCTTCTTTGCTCTTTTTTTTTTTTTTTTTTTTTTTTTAGAAATTCTATTGTATATGTTATTGGAGTGTGATGAACTTGTGTAATACTGCCAAACCAGGTGTCTGATGTTGCAACAATTTGAAAAGATGTTTAAGGAAATTAAGCTCTACAGTGTAATGGAAATAATTGCAAAGTGATTTTGCTTTAGCCATAAAAATATTGCTGGTACTGCAGTTGATGCCGTTCTGTGAATTTGGTTCCATGCAATCCCCTAGGGTTATGCTGAAAAATTTGCAGCTGACATCTCACTGTTCAGAGATACGAAGTACTTTGTGTTACAGTAGAAATTGATGCAGAYATTTCACAAAAAGTGTATCAGAACAGCAAGAGCTCTCACCTCTTGGCCTGCACGGCCGTGGGGTAGTAGCGGGAGCAGGAGATGCCGTCCCAGGCGCAGTAGGGATCCCGAGCCAGGCAGCAATCGGCGCAGGCTGTGCCGTACATGTCACACTGGTGGAACTTCACTTGAGCTATCACTGACTCGGATCCCACATAAAGCTGTTGCTGCAAAAAGGACACAGTATAGGATTGCTGGAATGTCCACCAAAACTTCTCTTCCCAACGCAAAATTTTAGATTTATCATTGCTGGCTGGTTGTGCATCCAGCCTGTGACCTGAGGGAGGCAGAGTTACTCTGTAGGAAAATATCTGATTACAGATTAAACTCCTACTGGGGATAGAGAAGCARAAAGAAGGTAAAATGAACAAGTTTATTTTGGCATTTCCTTGCTTCTGAAGTTTCAGCTTTGTGTTTGAATAGGCAAKGGCTTATGTTTCTTTTTTCTATGTTGAGATATTTTCCAGTGCCTCCCTCTTTACACTTGTCTGTCACCTAACTSATCTGCAGAAAAAMCCCAACTTGACATAAAAGACTTCARACAAAGAAGTTCAAATAKGCAAGAGTTATAAGCATACTCAATTTTAAAATGGGAGTTTTCAAGTAACTTTAACTCTCAATTTGGCTACTTGAACATGGTTGCTTATTTCCATGCAGAGTAGTGCTCTGATTTCTATAATCCCTCAGTGCTCAGGAGATGGATAGATAGATATAGAGATAGATAGATAGATAGATAGAGAGACAGAGAAATAGATAGATAGATAGATAGATAGATAGATAGATAGATAGATAGATAGATAGATAGATAGATAGATAGATAGATAGATAGATAGATGATAGATAAACATTGAATTTTTTTCCTGTTCCTGTGCAGCCTTTCCTTACAAATTACCTGGTCACTATCTACTTATTTAATGTTTATTTGCAGGGTTTGGGTGGGGGTTTTTTTCAGCGTTAGCATTGACAGTTTGAATCTTTTGAGTTCACATAGACGTTCTTTTCCAATCAAATGACAGATAATCAATTTAGTTGTTCGGATGCTGGCACAATGAATTCAGAACAGAACAGCTTGAATTTACAGGATTTTGAGAAAAAGTCTTGTTGCTGATGAATGCAAATTTTCTGAACACAGAAATATGCACTGTTCACTGCAATAGAAGCTACTTATGCACAGCTCACTTCCACAGTTTTACCAATCAGAAAAAGGATTCCTAASCTGTGCTCATCCTCATGGCCAAACTTTGTCCTAATTCTTACTCTTCAATCAAGCTTTCATAATCTGATATTTTACAATTACTTAAAGCTGGAAAAAAAATATTGACACCTCATTTAGTATACCACAAAATATAAATTTTAATCCAGATAGTTCATTCTTGTTCCTTATTACGCCTCTCATATCTCTTTAGATCACAGAAATTTAACTTTCAGATATGCCAGGGGAAGGAACTAGGAGAGGTTGGTAACAGCAATGCTTGAAGAATTTTTCTGGTGAGATAAACCAGATGATAGTAGTAGGAATTCAATCTGCCAACTGGAATGAAGAGAAAACCTAGGACACTTTTTTGAGGGGAATTTTTAGTCTGCAAAGGATGCAGTGTGATCGTCCCAGAAGAGATGAACAACACTTTCAATAAGACATATGAGATGGGATTTTCTCTTTCATCTTTTAGCGGGGGTAAAGACTTCTCTAAGTTTTGGTACATCAGAGGAAGGAAAAGAAGCATCTGATATCTAGCCAACTGAACATCAAAGAGTATTCTTTCCAAGTCACTGAAGATAACTAGCTCAGCCCTGAAATGTGATATTTTATCCTACCATGACTYGGTGAAGACTGGTCAGTGTTACAAGGATATGGAGGCATAGGCAGCAGGGACGTCTCCACTGACTCAGTAACTCCAAGTTCAAAAGAGACCAGCAAAAATGCTCCAACTTTTATTTTTATGACCATTTACATATGATCAGCTAAGTTATATTTCTGCTGATTTTAAAGACAAAAGACTTGGTGCCAACCCTGTTTCTTAACACTTATTCCAACATTTAATTTTCCTCAGCATCAGAAAATTGTATCCTACTTCAAGAGTAAGTTTATCTACATTCAACAATCTGATCTTAGTTATTTAATCTGACATTGCTTTGCCATCAATGCTTACGAATACTCAACAACAGAGTAGGAAGTTACGTCACACAGTAAAATATATATATATATGACTCTTCTGTTCTCTCTGTGTTCTCTTTGATATTTTGAAACAAAGTTAATCTGCTTTTACTTCTCACAGGTAAGTTTTGTTCTTCGATCACTGGATTCCTTTGGTGGCTTTTTTACAGTTCTTTCCAGATTTTCTAGACATACCTTGCATTAGTAGACTTAGCAGCCCTCTTGGGAGATGGATGTAATGGAGGAATGCTACTTCAATCTCTATAATATCTCCTTTTTACTATTCCAACAGAACGCTTTAACCATGAGAATTCATTGAAAGTTAAGGCAAACATCTGAAAAGACAGCGAGTCTTTCCCCAAATAATCACTTAGGTGCAGTATTAGACAATCTAATCTCAAGAACTGCTTTTACAGTCATGAGAAAAAATTCATGCAGGAAATAATTCAAAACACTTAGACCAAAATCCTCCTCTGAATTACCATCAGAGGACTTTGACTTTCTGCATTACCCACAGGAAGAATGTGAGTTGATTAAACATCAAGACTCAAAYAACCTTTTGGGGCACACTCACACATCCTAATAATGCAGTTTCTATTCTGTTATTTGTGTTTCACTGTGTTTATGTGCACCTACATTCACCAGATGTCTAACATAATTGTTGGACATGTTTAAYGTTAASATRTAATTGTCCTCTGATGTTTATAATKGTTCCATGCTGAGATGATAAGATGATACGATATGGATGAGAATCTACCCAMAAGAGTAATAAATTGGGTGTTTATATCAGCAGAAATTTGCAGAAACTCGAAAAGGACTCAGATCCAAACAGCCCTACAGGGCAAMTGAGTATGTGGGAGAGCCAGCAAGGCTCCTTTTGCACTGATATCCTCATGGGGCTGAAGCCTGTCTGCATTTATCAACAAAGAACTTTTCTGTGAATTGCCATATCCACCAGGCTAATCCCTACTGTGATTAGTGTGACAGTAACTTATGAAAAAGATTGGTATTTACTTGCTTTGATATGCATGATATTGTGAACCAAGGATATTTAACACTAGAATTAGAAYATATAAATGCACTCTAAGGGAAGAGAGTAAATAACCATAAGTTTATATTACAGAAGGATTTCATGTATCCAGTCAGCCTCATTATAGATGGAATATATCTGCTTATCTATCCATGCATCTACCTCTATGCAGCTTACAGCTTCCTTACATTTGAGTCACAATCATCACATTTCAAACTCGTAAAATACTCACCCTTTTTGAAGAGATTTCCATAGAAATAATAGGAACCGGCATCTAAAAAATAGGAAATATTTGCTTGCTTAAAAAAAAATAATGTCTTTTTGCTATGGCAATAAATCAGCTAAATAGGGTTGATATTTATTTATTACATTCATTTTTATTAGAAACTTTGACTTTCTTTAAGAAAGATGTGAGGAAATTGTGACTTTCACAAGCATTGCTTTAAAACAGTTTATTTAGAAACAACTAGTCAACACTTAATTGAGGATTATCAGAGCTACRGAAGCACTACAATTTCCCTGTCAAACATGACATTAGCTCTTGCCACCACTGAATCTCTTTTGTCCTGCTTGAGAGTGATAAGTGGAGTGTTCTTTATAACAAAACATTCATTGAAGATAAGATAAAAATAGCAGGAATTCCTTCTTTTACCATTGTCCTCTCTGCCCTCTGCTCAGATTTCTTGGAGCAACATGTAGCTCCACATAGTTCTGTTGAAAACCAGCTTTATCAAGAAGGGCAAATTCTGTGATTTYCCCCTCCCCAGGCAACAAGAGAATAGTTACACTACCAAAATTCAGGTACCCGATTTAAATATCTAAATTCTTATATTTGATTTTCCCTATGGTTTGAAGAAGGTTATCTTCCAGCTTTATGAGGCTAACATGACATGATGAGAATACTCACTAAGAGAATTTTATTAGATTGGCTTTGTCACATGCCAAACACTGAGCTTTGATTATTCTTTAGCAGAATGGAGTTCTGCCTCCCTAAGACTCATATTTGCCCACTGTAGAGACAGATTAAGTGATTCAGTCTTTTTGAGGRTTAGGCTTTTTCTGTCTGGACCTAATTTAAGTTTCCAAGATGRTAGTAGGTACATTTTTATGTACACAGTTAAACTCTTTTAATTACTTAATTGGAAATGAGAGAAAATTAAACAAAATTCAATAAGTTTCCAATTAAAAGTTGGATCAMAATGTCCCAGCACATAAATAAAGAAGCAGCAGTCATGATTTGCTTCAACATGCTTTGGTACTTTGGCCATTAGAAAATGAAGGTTTCCTGTCATAGAATTGCTAGATAATTAGAAAATTTCTTGTACACAAGTATTACATATTTTACTATCCTTAGTTTTTTTTAGACATTTTAATTCTGCAGAAAATCCAAGACTTGTGTATATACTTCATATACAGCACAATTCACCTTGAATACTTGCAGCTCTTCAAGAATCACTTCTTCCATTGATTCTGTCTCTTGATTGTAAATTGTTATGACTTTTAGCACAATTCCATTATCTGGAAATAAATTAAACAAAACAAAAGTAAAGGTTATGATTGGTTGAAACATTTTTAGGGACTTCAAATACCTGAAATTATGTCTTCAAGTTGATAATAGACTGGTGTTTCTAAGTATGAAATAAATAATGGCATATTTCTGACATTAATGAGGATTCTTACTCTTAGAAAATGAAATATATGACAATTTGTCCCTGACAAAGMAGAGTCAATGTAGACATTTGCAAGATACACGTTCAAAAGACTAAGACACATTTGATTTAGATTTACCAACCTCTCTGTCACTGCAACTCTTGCAGAAAGTTAAAACATGCCAATAACATCTGGTCTTCCACCACTTTGGTTGCCTTGCTGGCTATTAATAGAAAAGCCTCGCTGTCCTTAATCTGAAAATCTGTCATCAACAATGGCAAATATCACTTCCTTTCCTCTGTTACTTCGAGTCACCTTTGATTTACAGGGAAAATACAAAGCAGGGAAGCACTGGGGAAAATGTTCAGCAAAAGATCAAAGGGTGAAACAAARAGAGGAACCATTAAACTGGGGTCATACAGCATTTTTCAAAGAGAATATGTAATCAAAGGCAACCATTTAGTAGTAGAACAGTGAGAAGAATTTGTATTCTGAGCTCTGATTTTCATAAGTAAGGCCCTCTTCAAATCCTGCTGACAGACATGTGAAAGCTGTGATGTTCAGGCTTTGCCTTTGATGAAACTTTCTAACCTGCACCGCTACCCTAAGGAAACTTGCTCAGCTGTAAAATGTTGCTTACTGATGTTACACAGCAGGAGTCTGACTGAGATTAACAAAAAAAAAAAAAAAAAAAAAAAAAATCAACCCTTTCTAACATTATATTGCCCAAAGAAGCAATGAGTTTTCTGATGGGACCTTTGCTGGAGTAGAAATTGCAGTTTTCATTTCAGAGTTTCTAACTCCCAAATTCTTTTGCAAGAATTTCTTGTCACCCGAGATCAGAGAGCTTGAGAAAACCAGTCAGCTGTTGGGTGCCGATCCAGCACAGCTCTAAAGCACACACTTAAACCCMTTTGGATACAACTTTGCTGAGCAGAAGACTTGTGTACAGGAATATCTGATGCAATCTCAATCAGAAATGCATGTAGAAAATACAAAGAATGTTGGGCTGATTGTAAAATCTGCCGTACAGAAATAAGTGACACACAGTGAGATGTTATACAGACCACAGTAATTCCATTACCAAGACCATACTGAGGTCATTAAAAAACCTTAGAAAGCATCACTAATATAAATAAGACTTTGCTATTCTATGAACATGCTTTTTTTTGAATGTTCTCAACACTGAAATGCGCTTATCAGAGGAATTTCATTAATAAAAAATCACTGGAACTGCTTTCCTAGACAAAATGGTCCAAAATGATTTGTGATGCCACTCCTGTTGCTAAATTGATTAAATGTGAATGTAAGAATCCTTGGATTTTTTCCAGACAGATTAGATGTGACTAAAGTCTTGTCTAGTTCCAGCATTTCCTCTTGTTTTCTTAAGATTTTTTTAATTTTTCAAATACTGTTAGGSTATCTATTTTTTGTCTGCTCTCTTAGACTTAGTGCAGGTATATGCTATATTTTGCCTTAATTGTGTTTGTCAGGAAGATGTCTAAAATTCTTGTTAAACAAGGTCTCTATATTTTAATAAAATGGCACAGAAAAAAAGACAARAAAWYTKGSMRGRAAMYTYYWAMMWYTTTTKRRGGKTTTTTTTTKGTTTTTTTTKKTTTKKTTTKKTTTTKKKTTTTTGTTTGTTTGGGGGTTTTTTGTTGTTGTTGTTGTTTGTTAGTTTTTAAATTGGGTATTTTCTCCTTTCTTCCTCGAGCTGTGTTGTAACCCAAATCTGGAAGCTGGCAGTTTCTTTTTAATGRTATTAGCTAGACTTCTTGTCTCCAAAACTGGGGAAAAGAAATTGTGGAATAAAGCAAATAACTTGAACTGATATTTTTGGGGAAATCATATCACCTTCGTTTCTCTCAGGTCTCCAGGTCTCAGTTCAGATACATGACTGTGTTCTCAAGGTTGAAAAATAAGTTCAGTTGTTCTGCAATTTATTTTAATGTTCTTGTTTGAAAATACATTAAAATKGAATCCTGTACTTGTTTCTCTTGCCAGTCTTTAAATGTTTCCCTACCATTATTTTCCTATATAATGCTGGCCTCACAGTGGAGCACCTGTCTGGAATGATTAACATCCTCTGTAAGGTGAAGACTGGCACAGGCATGAAAAGAAGAATTGTTAAAAAKGAATGTTAGATTGATTTGTTTCATCCTGTAGAAAAGAAACCAAAAACTAATTACTACATGGTAAACACAAAAATTCTTTCTTGCTTTCTTTATTTACCTGTGCCAATGAACAAAACATCATATTGCCCATCCTCAGCTTCCACTCTGTCCACTGCTAGCTGCTTCAGATTGTACTTTCCATCAGTTTTAACCAGTATTGGTCTCTTATGAACAGGCCTGATGGGCTGATACATCAGGGGGTGACTCCTGGCAAAATGGACAGCTTCGTCAGGATAGTCCTTGGTGGTGGTGTACAGCCCACCGTTCACCTTGCTGGCACACTGCAAAAACACAGAACACTCATTGTCATGAGGGTTTGCTCAAGAAATCATCAGAAAAGGGTCTTGTTTTCAGGGATAAAGATAAATCCACAGAAAACCTGAGCTAAAAGCCAGCACAGAAGAGCACAGTGGGAAATGGGACAGTGAACTCTATGCATGTGTAGATTGTTAATTATGAGAAGAAAGGAAATACTGAACAGTGCCTTGGCATTGGCATGTTTAGAATGAAGGAGTTCCTTCCTCTTTGGTATACTAACACTTTTAGATTTTGACAAAAGCCATAGTGCTCATGTCTTCCCCAAATTCGTATTGAAGATGTAATCAAAATAGCCATTGACAGAGTAAGAAGAAAGGGATTTTCTATCCCAGTAGAGACACAGCCATGCAAAGTCAGCAGAACACTAATGCTTGAAATCAATCTCTAGTCTCATTATTTTTTGATTGCAAAATACATTACCATAAGAAACTAAGCACCCTTAAAAATTATGCCATTGCCAGCAGTAATTCTTGATTTCAGGCATTCTAACAGTATTATGTTTGTTTCTAATYCCCGACTCTCAATGACAGTATTATATATCACAGTTTAGCTTCAAATAGCAATGTTTGAATTGATCAATCTACCAGTTTTTAAAGCAAATAAACTTTATGTCAATGACTGATTAAAAGAGGCTTACTCCTTTAGTCAAATGTGCAATTAGTGATAATGCGTTAAAGGGAGAAGTTAATTTTAGGATGCTTTGTGAATGATACAGTGTTTCCCAACTGAACATAGATTCTCCATTTCCAATTTTCTTCATGATGTCTAATTGAAACCATTTATGATCAAGCTGGAAATATCTCAGTAACCATTTACTTTCTCCAAACATTCATAATATAGTGTGGTTTTAAGAAGCATTTCAAGCAAAGCCACAGTAGCAACCTTTCTCTATTTAAATTGAATTTTTCAATCAATAAAATGAAATAAAATACTCCTTATGTKTACTGGAAACAGTAATTTTAAACTTGTGGTCAGCTGTAATTGACAATAACCAACTCCTGCACTTGTCAAGTGGGGCAATGTTTGTTTCCACTTTTTGGGCTTAGCTACAGGAAAGTATTTGTTCAGTGTTGACTTAAAAGTAATTGTCTAATCAACCTAGTGATGGAATTTCACCACCTGTTTGCAATAAAAAGACAGAGCTGGAGCATAAAGACAGGCCAAGCCACTGCTTCCCATGCAATGCACAACATATCATGAGAATAGGCATTGCCAGGCTCCCTTTGCAAAGTTCTAGTCYTGGAGAGATTTAATAAAAATAATCATTCACAGGCTTTTCATTTTAATTAAATAAAATCAAGTAGTCTAGAAAGGAAACAGTAGATGCAGCCATCTCTGAAGTCTATCAACACCACTTTTGATGTAACTGATGTAATTCCCAGAAGCAACACAGCCTAAATGAACTAAAAGAACCAGCAGAGATTATGGCAGAGGATTGTGGAGCCTGTCAGAACCTGAGTGACACTTAACAGTGGCTGTTTATTTAGCTTTAAGCTCTACTCTCATTCCTTATAGACTCATTCTTTACTCATTCAATACCTAAGATCAATGAGTGCTGGCTCTCAGAGATGCCCAGTAGTAGGTTATTTTTGGCCTCTTGTCACTGTCACTCCTGTAATGGCAAAGGTGTGGGATTCAATTTACCAACGTGCTGCACATTCTTTGGAGTGTGAAACCTAACACTTGGCTATGGCCCAAGACACACTTTCTCTTGGTGCTACTGGATAAACACTGAAAAGACCTCTAAACTGCCCTAAATGAGTACCTAAACGTGAATCAATTAATGCTATGTCAGCTGGCAGAGCCATTTACTTCAGCTCCTGATGTGCACTGCAAAATATAAAGAAAATCATGATTAAATCTATTAGCACCCAGGAGAGCCCTGTTTCATCGTCCAATTTGTTCCATGATATTGGGAAATTACTTGCACTCTTCTGCTCCTTTTTCACCTCCAATCCCTTGCCTTCTAAGGAGGAGACAGTTTACTTTGACCCAAACATGGCCAAGGAAGAGAAGCATCAAAAGTGAGTGGAACTTAGGGCAGCCTTTCCATAAATCATTGTCAACCTTGCTGAAGTGCTGGCTCAGTGTTCTCTGCTTCTTGCCAAAAAGACACCATTTARTCCTCAGTGCTAGGAGATATCAATGTAATAACTGCAGTCATTAATACTGAATTCATGCCTGTGTTTAATGCTAGTCCAAATAACATATGTGAGGTGTTCTGCTGCCTGGAAAAAAAATGAATACCACTTAAAGAACTTGGATCCCATCATGTTTGCAAAATACACAGCCATTCTGCAATCCATGCACAGTACTATCTCATTATTTGGTAAAACTGCAAAACTTATACATTTTCTTACAAAATATCAAATATGAAACCAAATAATTCCTTTGAATTCAACCATTTTCCCCAAAATGTGATTATTTATCTCATTTTCTCCCCAGCTTCAACATGAATCAATTCAAATGATGCCCAAAAAAAAAAAGAAAAAAAAAATGGTATTGATGTCAGCACTGCTACAAGGGATAGCTCATTTGCCAAGATGGCCGAATCATATTCATAATGTTTCAATCCTAGATAAACTCTTTTTTGGAGCATCTGCTTCTACATTTTGACTTATGTCCCTAACCCCAAGAGAAACAGAGAAAAACATTAATTCAAATGAGAAAGGATATGCATTTGAAAACATACTGCACAGAGAAAGGCAGCACTGGAATGGATTAGAGAAGCTAATAGGCCTTTCCACCTCTCATTCCTGAGATTCAGTGATGAATGAATTGTATGCAGTGCTTATTTCTGGAAATGATTGCTTTTAGTATAAAAGTATATTGATTAAGTTAGCAAAGGGAAAACACCATTAGCAAAGGGAAAACTCCATTGAAAGGAGTGTCCAGCAACTGTTTATGCCATCTTTAAACTCAAGAGAGTGAGCCCCTTATCCTGAGAGGAGATTGAGAGGTGAAGTCTGAAAACTCGGGGGGATTTATCCAAGCAGCTGTTGGAAATGTCTTTACTCAGGGTCAGAGATCTGCCCAGAGCTGACAGGGCAAGGGGTAGAGCTTYATGAGTGTAAACAAAAGCAGCTCTGCAGCACATGATAATTGCCATGGGTGGGTAGGTAATTGTAATCYCAAAAGGTATGGGCAAAAGAGAAATCCTGGATGTTGTAATTCCCAGAGTCAGCCTGGCATTGCCAGGTGGGAGCTCCTCCCGGAGACCCCGGTTGTGCCTGTTCTGTGAGAAGGTGATGAGCCCTGCAATGCAAAGGGATGTAAGAGGGGGGATGTGAGAACCCTGGCACAGGAGCTGCAGAAACATCTGAAAAGAGACTGAAACGAAAGCTTGAGGTGTAGATTACTTGTGATGCCCTTCAGAAATCAACACAGAAATTAGAAATTCCTTGTAGAAGTTAATTACTTGTCTCTAAGTCATGAGTTTGTGACCAGAAATTGAAGTGCCTGACAGGAACAATGCTCTATGTGACAGCACCTCTACAGTTGCAGGGTGCTCACTACAATAATTCCCATTTAATCGTGTTTTCAAAATAAGCCTTGTTTCTTTCCCTCAGTTAACACCCACTGGAAAAAAAAAAAAGTTTGTTTATAAAGAAACCTGTGTGAAAATTAACAAAGAATATTAGTAACTTTTCTGAGTTTGATTTTATAAGTGGTTTTACTATTTTTATATTCTTTGTAAAGGGTACAGAACAAAAATGCTGATGAGCTCAGGAACCTGATTGAAGAGTAGTAAAATCTCATTCTGTGATGTCTGAAAGGAAATCAATGAATTGTGAGGGTGCCAGACCATTGCTTCCAGAAGGAACCAATCTTGAGTGAAGGACTTTGAATGATGGAGAAWTTGCTCCTTATCCACAAACACATTTATTCTGATTAGTTACTTTTATTAAAATACTTCTCTTTTCTAACCTGCACATTGATCTAAATTACAGAAGTATTCAAATTTGATCCTTTTYAGAAATGAGGTGGGAAAAAGGAAGCAGAACCACCTAACCTTGAACACAGTGAATTCTCTCGTTTTGTGGGTTTTTTTTTTTTTTTTCATTCCTTTAACATTTGTTAAATATCTTGGTTCCAGCAGACAAAAGAAAGAAAATGAGATTCCTTCACAGGTTACACACCACTGTTTCTGAATGCAGCATCTGACCCATCTCCTAGTGCTTCATTTTTCTATCCCTTTTGCCTGAGGTCCTAATTTTGGGACTTTAGGACTCTTTCACAAAATTGATAAAATCATGTCCCAAGAGGATTTTGAAAAATCTTGTTTACTTAATCCCACTATTTTCCTTTGGGAAGTGTATGGTTCTAGTAGTTGATTAAACTCCCTGCTGAGCCATTCCACACTTTACCAGAAACACTGCAGTATGTAGATATTTAAAGGAATATATTTCTATCTGAAATCATTTACATAGCAAAGCAGTGGAAAATAGATGGTACTTACTGAACCAGGTCTAGGATAAGGTACTTTTCTTTCATAGAGAGCCCAGTGGTATTCAGGTCCTTCTTTATGAGCATATGGTCCATTGAAAGCTGCTCGGACACTTGCCATGTGGTAAACACATACAGCATACCCTCTAAATATATTGCTGTGAAGTAAAATTTKAAGACATAATTAAAGTAATAAGCCACATTCTGTCCCTGTAATATTGGCATTACTGTGTAATTAAAAATAAGTCATTTTTCAACAGTATTCAAGGAGAAAACACTATTTTTTTCCTATATGCTTTCCTCCTAAGTACTGCATCCAATATTATTTAATGTGATTATATTCATAGCATTTCTCCATGGAAGCTCTGTGTTGTTATGCCAAAATTTGATGATGGTGTACACAGACTAAATGACTTGTTTAGAAACACAGAGGAARCACAACAGACTGAACTCAGGTCCTGTATGGCTTTGATTACTGACTAAAGCAGTTAATCATTCTTCTTCTGTAACATTTTTCCTACTGTTTTCACTTGGAAAGATGGGAATTGACCAATGCCGACTAAAATAAACAGACCTAAAATTAGTCTTTTTTGTATTGAGTGGGAATGTTGGTTGGTAGCATTAGCTAGATCAGAAGATCCCTTTATGTAGATCAATCCAGATAAAAGTTCCTATTTTATTTTAAAATTTTATTTGGTTCCAGAAAAGGAATTGATTTTTTAATTTTTTTTTTTTTTTTTAAGAAACAACGGTGCTGTCTACAGAGAATTTCTGAAGACTGCAGAAGGTGGTAGAGACAATTTTAATTAGATGCCCACCTTTCTSTGCTGGCATGGAGAGGCAGTAGGAAATGCCAGGTGTCTGCATCCCTAGAGGAGCAGATCTGCCTTTCATTAATAAAAATTAAAAAGCATAAATCAGGAGACAGTGGCAAAACAGACATGCTCTTTTCTACCAGTTACATCCTAATCTAACAGTTGAATTTCCAAGTTGAGAGTATTGTGTGCTCACTTGAACTAGAAAGAAAAAGGAGGCCACCAGCAACATCACAGCTGGTGCTTTAGGYTTGCCKAAGAAGTTATTAGGAATTTAAGCTGCTRTCTACTTAACCTTGAATTACAATGGAGCTCTTAAAGGAAGACAGGTGGCCCTGAGGTACTGTTCTTATAAGCATGCAGGAGTGCAGACACTTTGCAATAGGAAATTGTCAAGCTGAGAAACATTTCATTAATTTGTGATCCGGATATACTAAATCACTGAATGAGACTTCAAGCCCCTGAGTGTTATAGAGCAGTTTTTACATTAACAAGGAAGCCCACTGTGAATAGAAGTGAGATTAAACTGTTTACTATATATTTGCTAAAGGATATATATCATGCAGCTTCTATCTCTTTGACTGTTCAACCTCTATGGCTGCTGTTTTTTCTTCTCGTTGTTTACCTTGTAGTGTTGAAGAGGCCAAATATCACAGGATTTTTGTTATCACGAGTTTGCAGCAAAAACACATCCTCTGTAAAATTTAAACGCAATGTTATTGATAAAAACCTACTGTTCTCAGCCAGCCTCAATAAAATTCATTGATGGCTATTTTAGTCATTTATTTCATTTAATTGTATGCAGATTTTAAAAGCAATGTTTAAAAACAATGCAAAACATAAAGGAGCAATTGGTGATAGAGAACTCCATATGTATAGAACTTAATTTTCATTGGAAATAACACTGACAACCATCCCCTGATAATGAATACAGTATTTGACATTAGGATGTGTTATCATGAGGGCACAAGTTTTTTCCATGGTTTTAAGTTTGTTGCAGTCTAGGATATTTACCTAATTCATCAAAATGTGTATCAATTCCATTTCTCCCAGGCACAGAGCAAACTAGCCTGGTTTTCAGGAAAGTGGTCCATTTATTGACGAGCATTCTCTGGCCTCCCATATCATTCTGTGTAGAGAGAAACAAATGCCAGTGGCAATTTGAATGAGTAAGTCTAGAAACACAAACATCCCTGATGAATTAGCTGCTCATTGKATCTTCTAATGTCAAAAGCATCTATTTTCAAACCACATGTCTATTACTGGTATTATTTCTCTGGAGTCAGTTTTCAAGTAGTATTGCACTGATCAAGTCCAGGTCTCATTAAGATCTGTGGTTTCATAAGAATTTTTTAATTCTGTACCACATTTCTGGATAGTTTTAGCTATACAGCTGTTGTAAAGCGCTTTTTTTATTGTTCATTTTTGAAAACTGGATATACTAAAGCTTTTTTTTTTTTATTGCTCATTTTTTTCAAACTAGATATACTGGGTACATTATGGAAGTTTAGCTTTGCTTTAAGAGCTCAGTAYAGGGTTAGTTTAAAGCATTTGGAAACTGAAGCCATCTACAGCACTGGTGCAGCTGGGGCAAGTCTGAAGTAATTATTTACTCAGTTTTCTAACAATTTCTCAACAACTTTAAATAATACTTGCTTTGCTACGACTTTCTCACCTTTTTCTTGCTCTTGCAAGAACTGGGACTTTCAAGAAAAGGGAACACTTAGTAGTACTTAGCAATCAGGTTTTGTAACCTTTAGGTAGCATCTTCAATCTGTGGCCTTATATTCAAGGTCTATGGAGGGTTCTGCAATAGGCTTGCAAAGCTCTCACAGAAACCTGTTTTCCTCAGAAAGGCAGAAATATGAAGAGTAGATGCCTTTGTGTTGCAAGACCCCAGCTCAGCTCAGATTAAAAAAAAAAAAAAAAAAAAAAAAAAAAAAAAAAAAAAAAAAAAAAAAGCTGGGGTGAAAAAGTCAATCCTTGAAATATCAGCCAGCTATTTTTTGTATTCACTAAATCAAATCTGAATCACGACACACGGCTGTGAAGTTAATGGCCAGAAAAATTTTGGAGAAGAGGAAGAGAAAGTTCTCTGGGATTATGGTTTAACCCAAGGCTAGAAATAAGATTTCCCAATGGATATATGGCAGAGTAGAGGGAAACATTAAAATACAGGCACATATATTCACAACATAAGCCAAAGAATTCCACTTTGGATCTTGATGCAGGCTGGAATCCAGAAAGCCAAGTAGCTTTGTGAACATCAATGTGTGAGGCTACACTTTGGTACTTTGCATACATCAGATGTTTTTAAGTTTTACATGAGTACCCAAGGAAGTTCAAGTGGCGGTGTGCAGGTGAGCATATGTGACAAATACCACMCATTGAGGTGACAGAAAATAATTAACTTGTACCTTGCTCTTTGCCCAATAGTTTTAGGAAGGCATTCCCTATAGTTATGAGAGGGGACATAAACTTTTTTTTGAGACAAAATCAGATGTTAAGAAATAATCTTCTCTTTCCTTCCCTTAATGAAGCAGATGCAGTCCCAATGGGAATGGGAGAGCTCGTCTCATCAGCCTTATAGTTGGTTAACAGTAAAGGAATGCACCCAAAATTCATGAGTGTTTAGAGAGCACCAATATGGGCAGCTGGGAGATCATATGTTAGCAGCGCTGCTCTCCAACAACTGTCTGAGATCTCCCTCCTATGTGTGCAGCCAGGGAGCCAAAAAGATGTGATCAACACACCAGAAGGATGGCCGGAGTGGGAAATGGACAATCGAGAGGGGCAGAGGAGGGAAGAAAAGTCTTTCCTTGTCACTTTTCCACTCCTTCTGGTAAAACTTAAGCCTGTCTGTGATAATAATTTGCTAGACAATTCATCATTTGTTCCAGTTTCCATCTGCATGACTTTTCTTAGTTGTTAAGAAGAGGAATGAGAGATTAAATGAAAATATTAATTAGCTACCATTTATAGAGCACTCTATAGATGGTTAGCATTGCAACCTTCCTATCATCCTTCCTTATTTTCACGTGCACTAACAGATGCCATATCTGCCTGGGGGAGAAAGACCCAAGAAAGGAACATATTTCTTTCTTCATTTGGCTGGGGAATCACAGAAAGGATCTTACCGCACATACACGTCCCACTCTGGTGTATATGGCATGAGTGCTTGTCTCAGCTTCTAAAGCTTTTTCAGTAAAGAAGAAATATACTTTGTTATCATCGTGGTCTTCATTGTCAGGAATCATGTATGAGCCAACAAATTTTGGTTCTTAAAAAAAAAAAATTGAGTTCAGTTATTGAAATATTGCCTTATTTTTTCAAGCCTTAAAATCAGCTGATACCAACCAAAA